TGGCTGGCCCTGGAAAGTCGTGGTGGCTATTTGAGGATGGCTTCACATTTCTAAACTGAAGTATTGGGTTGGCCCATTCGTAATGGCGTTTACTCTATCATAGAATTTCCGTCAAGGGCGTGTATTCCACCAATGATTTCGGCACTGTTGATAGAGAAATATTGTCCTTTAACGCAGAGTCCTGACTTTTCTGTAAAATCTATTCCTTGCTTTAAGTGTTCAAATCAATGTCAAGTCGACGAAGTTGCGCATTTTTGATATACTCTCCTTTTCCCACTTAATTAGAAATCTGAAACAAAGAGGCTCATTCGATTGAAATATGGCCGAGAAACGATGTCTATCAGGAAGGCGCTCAACAGTTAAGGCACGGTCAGCGATCAGGTACAAAAGTTGAAAATTGGGGTCAGAGAGTAGTGTGGTCTGCGACGAACAACCTTGTACCGGTTTCGCGGCAAAAAATTATGGGGGAGGGGCGCTATAGCGCAATATAGGTTCAGTGACGCCTCCTTTTCTCCAGTGACTCCACCTCCAGATTCTGCTTCAGTGAAAAGTAAAGCTGCAGGATGAAAAAGCATAAAAAGGTCGTGGAAATTGTACGGTAGTATAGTTCTCGTAGGATATCAGCTATGCGGATGGGGGCCTACTTTTGGAGATGGGTTAATTGAGCACGGGGGATCGAAATAGGGCTCTATCTAGGGCAGTTGGCATGTTTTTCTGCTTTTTTCTCTACTATCGAGTTACTCAGAACCTTGTCGTCTATATGCGAACTCCTAGTCCACTATCTGTGATGGCAAATGATCGCGTGGCTTGCCTTTGAAGCAAATCAAAAATCTGAGTTGAGACTTCACAGACAACTGTCGAACGTGCTGCGCTACTGAGTCCTACTAAAGCAGCTCATTCATGGCAATCCATGCCAGAGAACGGGAAGTGGTAGGCTCACAATTGATGTAAGTGGTAAAAAACTTTGTGCATGGGGGGCGCCCTTTTTCTGGCAGTCACTTTCAAAGAGTGGGTGCCCGTCGTCACATTTATGGGTCCTCATTCCCAACTATCAATCGCTTGGAGGAACTTCAATGTGTCGACAGAAGCATCTTTTCTTGGTCCACACACCACCACACACCATCCTACTATTAATATAAATCCGCTAGTTGTCTGTCTGTGTGAGTGTGGTTGTGTAATGTTTGTGGTTTTGACGGAAGAATCATAACTTCCTTGCAAATAGCGATAAAGCGGCTCAAATTCATAAGTGATTGTAGGGGTTCGGCTAGGAACATTATGGTCAGGTGGCAGGAAGTGATAAGAGCTGATAAGATACCATACCGGGGCTTAGAAGGGGAGGGTCACCAACTCCATAGCGCGGGCCACAGCAGCGATGGGGCGTTGGTTTCAAGAGGTAAGATAGGGGCAGGATGGGAACATTATTGGTGGGTGGCAGGAATTGATAACAGCTGATAAGATACCATAGGGGGTCTTAGAAAGCGAGGGTCGCCAACTCCATAACACGCGTCACAGCGACGCTAGGACTTTGGTTCCAAGAAGCAAGATAGGGGACAGGATGGGAACATTATTGGTGGGTTACGGGCCATGATAACAGGTGATAAGATACCACAGGGGGCTTAGAACGAGAAGGCCACCACTTATAGCCGCTGTTCACGCGGCGGATATAGGTTGCTTCCAAGGCCAGTGATGTGGCGGGCAGCATTAGGATCATTGTTGCGTGATGGCTGGCAGGAAGTGATAAACAGCTGCAGTAAAGAAAAGCATAAGGGCTTTCAGCAAAGGTCAGCGCTCACCAACTTCATTGAGCGGCACAACGACTGTAGAAGTTCAAGGAGTAGAATATGAGTGCCAGGATGGGACATTTATCGGGTGGGTTTGGCCGATAGTCATACAGCTTGCCATCGGCTGATAAGATGCCATAGTTGAGAGGAAAAGCCTTAAAGAATTCATAACAGGCGATGGTGGTTAACCGGATTTGTGTTCTAGCACGCTAGCTCAGGAATTGGTTTTACGATTGTAGCCCAGAATCAATGGGCAAAGCCGTGGTGAGTTAAGATGTTTTTATTCTTCAGCGATGTAGTTGGAACGACCGCTAAATCCACGATTTCGACAAAAAGTAATAGCTCAAATTGTTTGCCATTGAGGAATTATATATATGCAGATATATGAAAGCTGCTCAGTGGAAGTACTAGGACGTAATTTCACTTGGATTCTGATATTGTTACCATCGAATCTCTTTCAACCGCTAGGCTGTCCTATTTCCAACAAATGGTGGCTGTTCTCAGATTTTGATAAGCACTGGCAAATGTTCATTAAAAAAGAGAAATGCAATACAATCGGCCGTATTTCGAAACATGGGAATTAAGCCAAGTGTTAGTGGGCAACACAGTAATCCCGACAGTGACCAGTACCATGTTAACCATGCGCGCAGTAGTGCGCGACAGCCAAACTGGTACAAGTTATAAGCTGCTTCTGCATTGTTGGAGCCTGAATTAGGTGCAAAAATATGATGTCAAAAACACTCGTTGGTGCCGACCGACTTTTTGGGGATCTAAAATTCAACGAAAATCAGGGAAGAATGGGATACCAAACACGGTGGCCTTTGAACAGAAATCTATCCAATAAGCAAAGTAAAACACAATGGTGAAACTCCTTCTTTCTTCATTCTATATTATTTAGTCTCATATATATTCTTCCATTATTCTTTATTTCTTCTTCTTTTTATTCTTTCTTTTTTATTATTACTTTTCTACTCCCAAAACTTCGTGTAAGAGAAAACGCCACCACTTATGGGCCAACCCAATAAAATGAAAGGCGCAGCCTAACTTTAGACAATTTGGAATGGCGATGGAGCAACTCACTTGCGTCCAATGGCTGTGCAGGTCAGCCAGTCCTATACCCTCCAGGTCACGCGGCCTTCGAGCAAAAAAAATACCGCTGCTCGCGAACTGGGTGGTGTTTCTCGGTAGTACAATGACGGTACAATTTGGAATGGCGCGTTCCACGAAGAATGTGTTCAACATCGGACTTTCTTGTAATCAGCCGCTTGAATAAAAAACCCCAGTGCATTAGATCGTTCCCAAGCTCTGATGAAGTCGTTTCGGCCAGAACGTAGGTAAACCAATAAAGTGTTTCGCAACCTCGTGAGAGTTCAACAAAAGAAGTCTCACACTACTACTACTACTACTATGGTGGTTCACTAACTGTAAGAGCCGTAGTCGGCGGCAAGAGATTCTTCTTGAAGATTTTCCTATATTTTGATTTTGATTTTCCTGATTTTCCTATAAGCAGCCATGTATAATGAGTCTCGAATTCATTATGGCTACGCCATTCACTCAGGTTTCATTAGAATTTTAAGCACATCCCAAACTATCCGTGGCGGCTTAAAGGCAGAACCCGCGATTATTCGCCATTTCAGATGGTGGATTTGGTGGTCCCACATAAATGACAAGGGGATGAGTAACTCGACAGAAGAAAAAGCACAAAAACATGCCACCTGCCCTAGATAGAACCCCATTTTGATCCCAGTTTGTACGTGCCCAATTAACTCTATCTCCCACACTACGCCCTCATACGCACAGCTGATTCACCGATAAGAACTCTACGATCGTACAAGTGACGATTTTCATGCTTTTTCGTCCTGCAATCTCGTTTTTCACTGAAAGCCGGGCATTGGAGGCGGAGTCTGGAGGCGGAGTCACTGGAAAAAAGGAGGAACCACTGAACCTATATTGCGCTATAGCGCCCCTCCCATAGAATTTTTTGCCGCGAAACCGGTACAAGGTTGTTCGCCGCGTTCTATTCTAAAGCCCGCGCAGGTGGACCGCCCAATTGCTAGATGCCCTCCGACGGAGAGCAGCTCAGTTGTTCTTTGTTGGGGCGGCGGGCATTAATCGGAATGCATGTCCTTTTCGCTGACCGCGCTCGTGCCCATAAATAATTCTGCTCTCCTTTATTACATTTTATTCATTAGGAGCACATGCAGTCAACTGCAACCCATCTCGCAAGGTAAAACGCGTAAAAATCACGAGTGATGCAATTTTCGTGGTGCAAAAGCTCGACATGCACTAGATGCACGCTACCGTAACCCCAACTTCGTACGCGGAGTTTTGAAATTTTTTTTATCCACTACTGCGAGATGCGATAAAGCTGTTTGTGAGCTAGGGGTTGCACAGAGACCGCAGGGAGGTGTGACTGTCAGGGAGCGATTTTGTTTATGGTGTTCTTGAGGGCTCTTCTTGCTTTTTTTCTTCTTTGGGGAATTACTTATCAGCTACTGTTTCATAACTGAACAGCAACTATCCATGACACTTTTATCGCGGGAGCTGCCCTTAAAAAGATCGATTTCGGTGAGAAATGTCATAATGCCAAACTGGCGCCAAATAGCGCCAGCTTCGAAAATGTTGTCAGTTCTATAATGGGAACCTTTGATCACCCCTCAAACGCATATTTTTCGAACTCAATTTAGTGAAAAAAGCCGCGGCACCAAACGGCGCCCAGTGGCGCCAAATAGAGCAGGCGCTTAAGCGTGTGTCACAATCACGATCGACACCGAATGGCCTCAGTAGATCGGTCTATCAGAGAATTGTTCTGGGTGCGATGCCTTTATAGAGCATAATAGTTTTATGAGTTGGCTACCCTTCGGAAATAATGCTTTATGAATAAACTACGAAAGCTTTTCATGATCCAACAGGGAGGTATAACAATTTAATGAATTTGCGCAACAGTCGAAACACAGGGAAAATTTAGCTTCTGAAGACCGTGACACACCATGTTGTCACGCGGCCACATTGAGCAGACAACGTGTGACACACATTGAGCAGACAACGTGTGACACACCGTGTGTGTCATGCGGTCCAGAATGTGGTAAACTAGGTGGAACGATACCACGTCGAAGTTAGAAGCCCAAAAGGTTTTATTATCCCATCAAGATCGTCAATTGTTATTACGAATGCATTTTCAACATGCAGCATGCCTCTAACACAACAGTGGTTTGAAAATCAAGCGCAGAGTTCACAAGTTTTTCTGCACAGTAGCTTCATTTGCGGTTCGAATTCGGGTCTTTTACAGTTGCCCTCTTCCTCATGAGCAGCACATATCGTTGCCTGTCCACGATCCACACATTCCTGCAATAATTAGAATGAATAAACTTGTAAGTGTCGAACAATTATGTAATTATATTAGTTGGAATGTGGGGGTGCAAAGCATAAAAAGGATAAAGTTTTTCTCAATGGTCAATCACTTCCCAACGTGGGGCATAATGCTCTCATGCTCACCCATTCAGAATCGTAGTGGTTTACTGAATGCAATGTGGCCTGCACAACGGGATGTTCATCCTCTAAGATGGATTTGGTCACAATCCACCCCGGAGAATAGAAGGGTTGGTTGGCATAGTCGGAAGTCGTTCCGGAATCTACCCTCCGCCCGCGGGCGTGGTATGCTTGTCACTTGCCACTGCACCGCCTCCTCCTCTTCTTGGGCATGAGGCGCATTTGTTTCCAGTCGCAGAGGTGCACGCCACAACGCGAGTGAGAAGTTTCTAAACAGGTGGCTTTTCCGTCTTCTTTTTGCATATTTCGACACATTCCGGACCGCCGTTGTGCGAGAATCTCCGCATATTTCGTTACTTTTCAACCGATAATCAGCAATTTCATCTGTTTCTTTCACTTTTCTATGAGATATTTGTATTCTTTGCCCAGAAAACATGTTTTGATACCTTTGAAGCATGAATTCCCTCCAAATCCTACCACTGGCCTCGAAGTGGCGGAGGGGCGAAACGGGAATATCCCGGCCAACAGTGGGGGTAGATACCACCTCAAAGGGTTAGCTACCCGAGGATTGGTAAACAAACAAGCTACAACACGCACACAGAGGGTCCGGAGCGGCGCAGAAGGAAGCACGAGCTCTACGTGCACTGGAGCAAACGGCGACCTGAAGGGACCTGCAGACAAAAACCGCCGCAGGATTTGGAGTGCACAGGACGAAAAGCTTTCGAGGCATGGGGACTGTCTACGAGTCTGCACCTACAACTGTCGCACCATTGCCTCGATAGCCGACCAAACCATATTAATGGAGGCTAGTAAAAGACTTCGTTTCGATGTCATCGCTCTCCAAAGCTTATCGTTCGTATGCATCGATCTCCTAGGAAAACAAAGATCAAAGTAAACACCTCCAGAAGAACGATGCCACATAACTTTCCTCGAGCAATTGAGCGGACTAAAAACGTTAGGTGTTGGTTGATTACTACCAGGCTCATGCACTGTGTCGTCCAAAGATCGGCCAGCTCACTGGCGATACAACGTATATTACGCATGACAAGCGCTTTCCATAGTAATTTCCACTCGATAATGCAACGTTCAACAGCTACGGAGAAGAAACGCGTTTTGCAAGGAATTAGAGGAATTAATAAAAAGGAACGTCTTATTACAATATTCGTTTGCATAAACTTATAAACGCAATCATCCATCAGAAATGCCAGCGACAGCGGCTGGGACCACATGGAACGAGAAACAAACGAAAAACGGCAAACTCGAATGGAACTCATCTCTTTCAATCGTACCCATTCTCGTTCTTTCTTCTCTCTTCTTCATTCTACATTTTCTCATCGAACAACATTCTCACTACAGAAGTGAGTTGCTGCGACGTCACGTGTGGAGCCATTTCCGCACTTGGGACGAACTATAGCAAGCAACAAAATCGTCTCAATCGAGAACCGACGACGCGTGTAAGCGTTGTGTTTTTGACAACTTGACTTTCCGACGCCATCCCATCACCGTGATCGCGGGTGGCTGCCACTTACGACACAAACGCCATGGAGACGGCCGCCGCTCACTACACGTGGCAGGAGGCGCAAGACTTGTCGCAAGACTATACCATGCTCATAGAAGGACTTCTACATTGCGCTATGGCATCGGCTATCACAACAAGGACGGATTCGAATGGCAGGATTGACGACAAGGCTCGCGCACTTCTACAGCAACGCGCTGTCGTCCATCGTAACCCTGCATCAACACCATTGGAGCGCGCCGTGATCAACAAAGCGTGCCGCATCGCAGTGAAGGAGTCGATTCAGCGTTACAAGAATACTCGACTGAAGGAAGCGGCGGAAGCGAGAGCGAGTCTCAAACGATGTCGTCGAGACATCAACGACTCTCGCTCGGTCACCACCATACGCGAGACGCGATGGGCAGACCGCAGACATCTCTACCGCTCAACGATGCCAGTTCCGCGCATACCTGCACCTACGCACCACAGATTGAAGAATGGGAGGTGGAACACGCCTTGCGTCAAATGAAGCCGGGAAGGCACCAGGACCTGACCGCATCTCAGTAGACTTTCTGAAGTCGGCGTCCCGCACCGTCATAAAACAGCTCACCAGGCGCTATAACAGGTACATGGACGCGCAAGAGGTCCCGGACCAGTGGAAGACGTCAAGCACGGTTCTTCTGTTCAAGAAGGGCGAGCGCGACCTAATGAAGAACTACCGCCCCATCGCCCTCCTCTCGCAGCCATACAAGTTGTTCACGAAGGTAATCCTCAACAGGCTCGAGAAACAACTGGATGACTATCAACCAGTGGAACAGGCCGGGTTTCGCAAGGGCTTCTGTTGCATGGACCACATCCATACTGTCACGCAGTTGATCGAGCGAACCAAGGAATACAAGCAGCCGCTCCTGCCTCTGCTTCATCGACTATACGAAAGCATTCGACAGTGTGGAACTGAACTCTATTTGGAATGCGCTGCACCATGCTGGTGTCGACCCGTGCTACATAAACCTGCTGGAAAAATGCACCATGGACACATCTACCACCATCCGCATTTTTCAACGAGAGCTACGAGTGCCGATCGAAAAAGGCAGACAAGGTGATACGATTTCTCCCAAGCTGTTCACCACCGCACTCAACCACGCGATGCTGCAACTCGACTGGGACGATAAAGGCATCAACGTCGACGGAAAGAAGCTATCTAACCTACGATTCGCAGACGACATTGTCCTTATCAGTCAAAACTCAGCAGAGCTACAGCGGATGGTGGAGGAACTGAACAACGTCGGCAAAGCTATCGGCCTCACGATGAACCGGAGCAAGACCGAGGTCATGCGCAATGAGTGGGCAGATGCGTCACCCATCACTCTCGAAGGCACTGCTCTACCGGATACCGACCGTTACGTTTACCTTGGTCGACTCATCTCCATGGACAACAATTTGCGCGAAGAAATTATGAGACGCAAAAAATGCGCTTGGACGGCAATGGGACGCATAAGAGAGGCGGCCCAGCTCATTTCGGACAGGAAAATACGAGCTGCCTCTATTCGACTCTACAGTACTGCCTGCACTTTGTTACGCATCCGAGACGTGGGCAGAGAACAAGGCGTCTACCTTGATGTTGACACGTGCCCAACGAGCATTGGAACGGACCCTGCTAAATATCAACCGCCGTGAGCAGAGATGTCATAATCTGCGCAGTACAGACATGCGCTCAATGTCGGGCATCCTTGATGCCGTAGTGTACACGTGGAATGCAAAGAAGAGATGGTCTGGACATGTTCGTTCAGACGTAACGGAGCGATACGGCTGGACACAGCTCGCATACAATCTGGTATCCCTGAGAGACGCGGAGACGCAAGAAATTGCGGACACCACTGCCAACCCGTGAGAGAGACTTATTGATATAAACTCGAAGTTTGTAGAACAACCTGGCATCCAGACTCACAAACGCTGAGATCGCGAACGATGGAGGGAAACGGTGGCTCGTTGCTATGAGAACCGGCTGAGAAGAACAAGAGTTCTAAGTATCCAAGTAATTAAAGTGAAGCCTAATACAGATGCCAAATAAACATATGAAACGCGCTGCGAAGAAAATGTTATGACTTGTGTGTACGCGTCCGGAAGCGTGTTAACGTGGCATCGGACATAACTCTGGGATCGTACGCTGGTAAGAGTGTTTGAAAAATAGGCAAAAGGAAAAGGTCAAGAGATGTTTGCTGCGTTTGAGACGAGATCCGCTTTGTTCACGAGCTCACTTCTTAATCAGAGAGAAGGATTTTTTCTCTTTTTTGTTTTTTTTCTATACACTTGTATGCACCCTATGAGAAACGTTATCGAGGACAGTGGCAAGAGAGATAGTTTCCGTTTTTATGGTCTAACAATACGATTCAAGCTCCATTATGAATGATCCGAAGGCAGATGAACCCTCCACACTTATGTATACGAGTCGCAGGGATAACGAGTACTCGAATATGTGGCATTAAGCTGCGTTGCACCCAATACTCACACCACCCCGAGTGTCCCGCTCCCAAGAATTCAGAGTTTGTTCATCAAAGACTTTAGTTGTAACCATGGCAAACTGGTACTTACTTATGTTGCTCAGAGGTGCTCGATATTGGGGTATGCTCCAGCGATACAAGTCGTAATCTGCTGCGTTGAGCCGGACGCAAGTAGAGGCGAGTTGTCTGCCGGTCCGTTGATTTAGATTAATCATAACAAAACAAGTCGGAATAAAACACTTGTTCGCCGAGCGATCCTCTTCGCTCATACGCAGAAAGTGGGTCCCGGTGAGAAGTTTTCCATGAGAGGGAGGGCCAATCGGATCGGCCGGCGAAGCCGGCCGATACCCCTTCCATCCCTTGGATGATTAGTGGATGAACTGAAGTAGGAATATGCATTTACCTAAATTGTTGTGCAGTAAATAGTAGGTAAATAAACAAATAAATAAACATACTGATTTACGAACCCTTGATTTTCACTCCCATTCACTGTGGCACATATCCCGTTCACTGCGATTATGCTACACTTGTGTGTTTGGGAACCGAATTATGAACTATTGCCGACGGTACCAACCATTTGGTATACTCCCTACGGTTATCCCTCACTAACTTCATCTGCCAAACCATTGCTCAGTTTCACCTTACTCCCCATTTCGTGGGGTTTTTCGAGTGCGTTTTGAGGGTTTTTGTCCTCGGCACCGTTCACTTCGGCAACGCCCACCCATCAGGGTGTGCTTCATAAAATTTCGTCCGCCAACGGATTGCCTATCGTTTGCCACTTTTTCCGCTCTCGGGGCTCTTTTGGAACCGAACTGCGAATTTTTGAAAGTTTCGTAGCAAGCACCGCCCACCTATAGAACGCCCCGCCCAGAATGGGTTTGTCTCACTCATTTCGTCCGCCAACTGATTGCCTATCGTTTGCCACTTTTTCCACTCTCGGGGCTCTTTTGGAACCGAACTACGAATTTTTGAAATATGTAGCTCACAACTGTGCGCACGCCCCGCCCGGCGGGGCTTAGCTTAGTTCATGTGTGTTCCGTACATCTTGGCCCATGCCCTACCCAACCCACCCTTGACCCGCCCCCTCCAACTGGCTCTTCAGGTGATTCCGAATTTCCGGACAGACAGACAGACAGACAGACAAACAGACAAACAAACAAACAGACAGACGTTGCCGTTTATATAATAGTAGGATAGGGAAGGTTGATCAACTGCAAATAGTGGTTTTGCCTCCTTTACATCCTGCCTGGGTTTTCGATGCTGGCTCCGTTACAGGAGACTGAATGATTTGTGAAAATCTTGCCGCGCCGCGCTCTTGTAAGAATAAAAGAGAGAGATAGAGAAGAGCGCATTCACCGATGTTCGTCAGTCTCTCCGGTCAGTCCACTCATCATTAGAGATTTTGTCCTGGAACAAACACCGCACCCGCTCTCGGTGCACTAAAGAAGTGCCAACCCGCCTGCATGCGCAAGAAGTGGTGACGGCGCCAAACGTTTCTGAACAGTGTGTGGTCGTTGTGCACGTACCAAACGTTTTCACACCAAGCACTTAAGACATTGGTGTAAGGATAAACCTACTTCTTCGAACGGGTTCTCAGCTCATTTGATTTTTCAGGTATTTATTTTGGGGCACACCAATGGCGCGGCACCATGCATTTTCAAGCCAAAATATGCGATATTGTTGTTTATGGGGAGAGAGAATTCAAGCCAACTATACGCCAGGAGGAAAATTTCGATCAGAATAGCCGAAATAATCTCGAAATAGGGTATCGAAGGGTGAACAGATTCTGACAGTTCTATACCACGGAAGAAAGGCAGAAACATCTTGAATTAATATTGGCATAGTGCGAGGTCGATTCACAACTAAAA